ACTTGCTAGCCAACCTAATTTGAGCTAATTTTTATCCCCAACTAGTATCTACTAGTCATGTGTATCCAAACAGGCCCTAAAGTGCCAAAATATGTTATATATAGAAGGTTAGCGAATCGCTATTTGTTTTTGGGGAACTTTCCAGAAAACTATCAGTGTAAGTAATATGAAGTGATAATTTGACCCATTCTGAACGAAATAATTCAAGATGTTGTGTTTGTTTGCTTAGCGACAAGGTGGAGCTTGTTGCTAGATATTGGTTTGTGAGTTGTATTGAATCCGTGGTGCATTTGTTGCATGCTCTTATTGTCTTTAACTTTTCATTCCTTTTGTTGTGTTTTGTCCAAGGTACGGCGCATACAAATACATTCGTCTGCAGGAACAACAAGCTAAAGTCAAACAGAAATCGTTTACATCTTGCAGTTCCTTCAAGTTCTGAGAGTACAAATTATTGTAGAAAGTTAACCATCTGCAAAGCACAGAGGTTGTGTTTTTAATCCATGGCATTTTTCTCTTCATATATGCTTGTAGACAGAATGTAGGCACAGGCACAGAGGCGACAGAGTTACCCTTAATTTCCGTCTTTAGATACAACACTTTGTGTTACAGTGTTACAGAGTGATGCACAAGAGTTCCCAATCCAGTTATCTTTTTTTTAGCTGGAATTAAGCCTGGTCTGTTTAGAATTGATGGCTTTAAGTGTTCATTTCCATCTACTCGCACAACAATCGAACATTATTTGATCTGGCAAGAGTGCACAGTGCCCAGTTCAGTTGTCTTTTAAGCTGAAACTACATGTGAGTTGATTTCAAGTGTGACTATCAATGCTCAATTTTTATTCTAGTCACATTTCAATTGAACACCAACTAGCAATTGAAGTTTCATTCTAATTGAACAGTTCATGTCAGGCTAAAATGTAAGCAATCTTGAAGATAGCTAGCTTGGATCATGGTATAACATTAGAACATCTTGAATTGGTTCGACATTCGCTTTCAACTAGGTCTGATTAATTACTTTGTAACATTTTGGCAGAAGTATTGAAAGCATCTTCCTGTATGACCTTTTCCCTCCTTTTCACTTTGTCTTTAGATCAGGTCCATCCAAATCCACATATAGTGTGCAATACATTTTCAGCTTCATGCTTATACTATTTGTGGAACTATCCTGTTATACAGTGAAGATTCTAAAGGTGGGGGAGGATTTTTGGCTGGGTTTCTTATAGGGGGAGCAATCTTTGGAACACTTGGATATGTCTTTGCTCCTCAGGTATTACCCAATCTTCAAGTACTTTTCACTGGTGCATGTACAGAAAATCCCTGTAAAAGATGCCTGTAGAATCACCATATTTGCTTAGCAATGCTCGAAGTAGCCAACAGAAACCTATAATGCAATGTCTTCCTGAAGGCAGAAAGAAAGTTTCTCAATTTCTGATCTCGACAAACTCAAATATATTCTTCTAATTTGCCATGGCAGATTTCTAACTAAAATATTGTGCATATGAGCTACTTACTAATAGTTGATAACTGACGAAAGAAATATCTGTGTTGGTCTACACTAATCTTGCTCTAGATGCTATTTTTTCCAGATTTTCTTGTCATATAACTACTAATTTGAAAAGTGGTTGCTAACTGCTCAACATACTTGAGCAGATCAGCAGAACATTGGATTCTTTGTTGGATGAAAATGGACAAGATAGCGAATCTGATGAAACTGGCCTCCAGAGGGTGCCAAGACGGCAGGGTCAATATTATGATGAAGGTTTAGAGGTATGGACCCAAATGTACTTACTTTTTTTTGTTTGACAGGTAAGTTTGATAGCTAATATGCTGAGTGCATCCAGAAAACTCGTCAAACTCTGGGCGACAAGATAAGCCAACTGAACTTGGCGATTGACAAAGCTGCCTCGCGGTTGAAACGCGTCACTGGCAATGGGGAAAATGAGGCTCTGAAAGACAAAACAGAAGTAGAACCATCCTAAGAACTTGTACCTTTTCAGTTTTCTATTATCTGAACTTCTATTTATGTAATTCAACTTCCTGAACACATAGTATTTGAGTTATGATTTTTGCTCGCGAGTCTCAACTCTACACACTAATTTACAAGTTACCCATTTGATTAAAAAACAGCTGCTCAGTAAATTCTGCTGTTCTGCTGTAAATATTTTCGTGTGGAATTCTGTTAGAAATCAAATCGATTTAAAGGGATGCATGTATCTTTTAAAACTTTTGATGTCAACTAATTGGATACTCATTCAAATGAACTTGCAGATTGGGATTTCCTCATTGAGCGATAATGAGCATGTGGTGGAAGATTTGAACGAACATGGTTTTGTGCAAGGTGAAAGTGCTACATGATCATCATTCAGGAAAAGAAAGTGCAGCAATAGTGTTGCAGGTTCATGAGGTGTGACAGAATGCACCGTTAGAATTTTCAAAATTTGCCGATTTTCAGACCAAGAAGTGTTAAGATAAGGCATGGATTTTTTTTTTTACTTAAATCCAGGGAAAAAGTCTGCATGCAAACTGGAGAGATGAAGCTGGATGGTATGTTTAACCAACTGTAGGAAGGAAACGAATCGCATTAGCAACTAGTATCTTTTTCTACTAGTGCGATTTTCTTTAAAATTTTTAGCCGTCGTGTTGAAGTAGTAGTTCTGTAATAAGCCGAGGAATCAAAGGACTTGTATTGATTAGCTTGATGCAGTCAATGTACTTTCTATTTGTTTGCTGACGCTAGACGCTTCGTGATTCCGGATGTCTGTCGCCTTGCAGCTTCGTGTTGTGTCTTGTGTGGTGCCCTATTTAGCCCGTAATGAGTTTCTGGGTGCAGAGTCAGGAGGGTGCTGAGATTAGAGAATACTACTGAAACTCCTACTGAAAAATTGTCAAATTGTTCTTGTAACGGCCCCGTTCGGCTTACCCCATATCCGGCTTGTTCGGCTTCTTTTTTCAGCTGGAACAGTGTTTTTCTTTGACAACATTTTAGCCAGAATAGTGTTTTTCAGCCAATTTCACGGTGAGCTCTACTCTACTGGGCATCAAATAACAGTTTCGTTTACATCATCAATTCAGCATGCGTATCGAAACTGACTTGTTAGTTTTTCCATGAAATGAAATATCCAGCTACCATCGAGGTTCCTGAAAACTTAAGACAAACTAGCAAAAATGCCTGTGGGTTACAATGGAACGCATGGTTTATTGTATGATTCTCGGACATCACTATCTATGTTTATCGAATTTATTAATTGGGCTTAATCCAACCTTAAGTGAAACAAATAAATTTTAAGACCTGCATGTTTGGTTGGTGGAGATGCACAAAGAAGAGATGCGAGTCTGTCCACTCAAATCACGGAAACTATACGTATTGCCCAGCTGCTGAACAATTCCTTCGTAATCAGGAGAACAAATGATTCAAGCTTGTGTGGTTATTCGTTTCCTATAAATCAAAGGAATCAGTATGCGTAAACGTTATCAAGAGAGAAAGATAGTAGAAAACCGGTAAAAATGTATAAACAAACTAATTTAGTCATGCACCAAAATATTTGAATTTTAATTATTTGGTACCTGTATTTTTTTTTGTTTTTAATTAAAAATGATGTATATGTGCAAGCGAAAAGATACGCTAAGATAAACCTGTAATATAGAGAAAAAGCATTATTGTTGCCTGAAGCACAACAGATCTGCAATCTGCTCACAAAAATCAAACATTAAATCTTTTTGGAAATGTTTTTGTATTGAAAACTGATTTGTATTGTCATCTTAAGTAATTATGAAATTAGTAGTAATTTTTTTGTAAAAACAAAATACTTATAACATTATTTTAAAGTAGTTTTTAATCTGGTGAGGGTCTATTTGTAGTTCACTATAGATGACAGGGTAGCTGGCTAGTTCTATTAGACTCAGAAAATAGCTTAGTACGTGCGTATAGAATAAAGGTAGGGGCGAGATTGAAAAATAGGTAAGCACTATGTTGCGCACCTAGTCCATGAGCCGTGGACCAGCGGCGGGACGAGGGTGTGGTCCACCACGGACCGTGTCCACCGCGAAGGGTTATGGGTTCTTTTAATCGTGGCCATAGATCTTAGAATGGACGGATAAGGATGTCTTTATTTATATCGGTATTTAGTTGGTATATCTTAATTTATTTTTCTAAAGGAAAACAAACTTATTTAGGCGTGACGTAAACGTGATGTCATCAAGCTAACCAGGAGCATTAGAGCAAGGCACACACGGGGCTGCTTGCTTCGCTTGCTCTCGCGTTGTCGCTGCACGCGTGCAATGGGCGGGGGCGTGCGCCTGCGCGTGCCTAGGAGTGAGCTGGATTTCTTGCACGAAGAGAGGCGGACGGGCCCAACACGAATATGGGAAGGAAGAAAAAGATACGAAACAAGAAAAAGATACGGATACGTCGGACAGAGTTGACAAAAAAAAAACTCTGTGGTAAGAAATTTTGTCTCTTTATTATTAGGTATAGATATAGAATAGGAGGTTACTTGAGTCACGAAAGGTGTGCCGCCATGACACCACGAAGTGAAATTGAAATAAAAATATACAGCTATTATATATAAATACCGTTTGTAAGTTACATGAATGTTAAACAATTCAAGGTGCGCTGGGCTTCTAGACTTCATAGTTGGCAGCCGGCCCCAAAACTGTCGGAAATCTATGCAACCACACCAGCCTGTTGATGACTATATTAATTATTGTAAATAAATATATCTGATTAAATCGAGGCAACCAGGGCCTTTTTATGTGGGAAAATTTGAAGACTGCCAGCCTCTCTTTCCTCTTGTCTCCGCCATTCGGAGGCCTGTTTGTCCTTCTCTTACACCCTGTGCTAAAACGCCGGGCATTCGTTTCCAATCAATGGCAACTCGCAAAACCCATGCCATTAATTATTCGATGAGAAATAAATCAAATAATTATGAAAGAGACAGCAAAAAAAAACACACATCATCACGAAGACAACCAAAAAAAATCAGCACTCCATGATGTTTCCGATCACGGCCACCAGAGGCGCAGCTCCAGGTCGACGTCATTGTCTTCCTCCTCCTCGTCATCATCATCACTCACGTGGCAACGGTCGTGCGCGGGCGCCAGCGCCACCGGCCCGGAGAGCAGCACGTCGCCGCTGGGAATGAGGACCGCGCCGGCGGCATTGGAGTTCAGTATCGGGTACAGCACCGCGTACTTCGCCGCGGCCGTGGTGGCGTGGGGCGTCTCGTCCGTGGCCAGCGACGTCGCGGCGCCTCCGAGCTGCAGCTGCGCCGCGGCGCTGCCGCCATGGTGGCCGCCGCGCATCCTGGCGCGGTCCCGGCGGTGCACGTTCATGTGCCCACCCAGTGCCTGCGCGGACTTGAACTCGCGGCGGCAGAACGCGCACGTATACGAGCGCGGCGGCCACGCCCCGCCGAGCGCGTCGTCGTCCTCCGCGACGTACTCGGGCACGTGGCGACTGATAGCTCCCGCCGTCGCTGGCCAGCCCCACATCACGGCGGGCTTCAGCCGGTGCTGCAGCAGCTGTTGCTGCTTCAGGAACTGGTGCAACGTGGTGTGCTTTACGTGTGCATGCTCTGTGCTGCTGGTAGGCGCCATTGATGGAGCTAGCTCTCGTGCTTTCTTCAGTTCACACGGCGACGAGACATGCGGGCGGTTTCGTTGCCGGGTATTTATACTACTAGCACAGGGTGGCTGGAGTGAACAAGAGACAACAAGAGGAGGAGAGCTTTGGTTGTGTCACCGTGTTATGTGCTTTTGTTCCTGTCTGCATAGGTGAGACACGCAGAAGGCTGTGCACAATTGCCATGGGTTGTATCACCTGTGGATTCTGGGGGCTCAGCCGTTGGAAGTTGGAATAGCTAGGGTAGGAGCTCCAGCCACAGCTGTGGTGCACTGCCTTCTTCGGTTTGGTTGCAGTACGCTTTTTGCATCTGTGTTGGGATCAATGAGGTCTAGAATCTGGGTGAAAATGAAGTACCATGTTTCATTTTGTTCTGGAATCACCAGTATTAGCAGCTGTTCTTGCATGGTGCCCTATGTTTTTGTTACTATTCCGTACGGCTAATCAGCAGAGACAAGAATTTCTGCAATAACTATGTAACCGGACTATGATAGATCAACTATAGTATGATAGTGTATTTGGGTGAAAACTCGGTCATCGTCGGCCGATCAACGAGATCGCCGAACGCCGCCGCCGCCGTCGCCCTCGGGCACGGTCAGGTTTCTAGCTCCCGTCTAGTCCTTCACGGCTCCTGTGTTTGCTTACAAAAGGGGGCCACAATGGGCTGCCTTCGTATCTGGGCCACGCAGGGTCCATTTAGTTGATCCAGTTTGGCCAAAAGGTTCGACTACTGGGCTTCTTCGTACGTTTGGCTCCTGGGTTCCTTCCCGCCAGCTCTCCTTCAGAGATTGCTTCCCCTTCTTTGCCTTCATCAGGTTCAGTGATCTCGCCATCAGCGGTGGTCGTCGCCGTGGCGTCGGTGACATCCCTTCCTCCTTTAGAACCAGCTTGACCCCAAGCTGGTGCATGGGGAAACTGTTGTTGTAGAGGTTCTTCATCTTCCCAGGTGGAGAGAGGGTCAGGGAGGTAGGACCAGCGCACCAAAACTTGAGGGGTCATAATATCATTTTGCTGACGAAGCCGACGGTCTAAGATTTCTTGAGGCACCTGCAACTGATTAGAAATGTCAGGTAGCTCTTGACTTACCATAGCAGCAGGTGGAATGGCCTTCTTTAGTTGGGATACATGGAACACCGGATGTATAAGACAATCTGGAGGCAGCTGCAGACGATAAGCTGATTGACCAATCTTTTCAGTTATCAGAAATGGCCCAATCTTTTCAGGTTCAGTGATCTCGCCATCAGCAGTGGTCGTCGCCGCGCCGTCGGTGACAAACTACAAGTCTACAAGGGTGAGAACTGAGAATTATACATCCTCTGCAAAGGCTACCTTTTGTTATAATGCTACTCCTAAATCACACCTTTAACAAGCAGCTCGTTTAATATGTAACACCTTTAAAATTTCAGGTTAGCATTCACTAACAATCTGAAAAGGAATTGATTTGCTCCTTTTTACTTAATCTGGTTCCTTGAGTCATGCTCTTTCTGAATAGCATCTTTTGATTATGTTCAGGGACTCTCGTTTGCTGACGGACTGTCCAGTTTAATTTATTTATTTTCCTCATACAAAGTAAAATAAATAAAAGAGAAAAGGTTTCTCTGTGCCTTCTGTGGTAGACGCATGCATGTAACCGGGAAGTTAAAATGCATAGGAATAAACAGCTGATACCAGAGCATCCGGTAGTCCGGCATAATGCTGCCTACATTCAGAACCAGGGCAGCAGCTTCAGAATATCAGTATTAATTTGCAGATAAGTAGAAAGGAACACTTGTACAATAGTACTATAGTGACGAAGATAACGATGACCTCCTGTCCTGCAAACATGTACTTGCAAGAAAAAGATCCAAGACAAGTTAGTAGTAAATACTAAATTAACAGTCTGATAGTACACTTAAACTAGGACTTTTTTGAGCTGCCATTGGACTGAAAGTTTCAGACAAGCCGAGTGAATCTTTCCTGAGTAATCAAACTAAGCTAACATAACAATCACAGGCAGAACCGTGTCTGTTCTTAAAATAATTTATCCAGCAAGCTGTACATAGTGTCCTGTACAGCTATATATTGATAGATCTTTGGTTACTTCGCCTGCAGCATGTCCTCGCAAGAACTCCCTCAGACGTATGTTTCAGCTTGTTCCAACGGAGTTGCATTCAACTTTACATGTCTGTTTCCATGTCCTGGAACAGAGATAACATATATAGCATATATAAATACATGTGCATCTAATATACATACGGTATGCAGGTTGCGTCGTGGTCCTTAGTTAACTAAGGTTACGTTGTCGATGAGGTCAAAATATCTCTGTCGAGCGAAGAGAGAGTCCAACAGTTAGTGCCTGTGCCTTCTTGTCGTCCTCGTCTCTAGCTGTAAAGTCTTATTTGTATTTTGGGGGCCGGCATATGCTGCGAAACTATGCCGCTTTAGATCCCAATTTTTTTAGCAGAAAACGAGGTTTTTTTTTATTACTATACGAGTATGTATCAACTGACAGTATTTTGACATTGATACATGCTGCATGATGTATGTAAATGCGTCAGGGCACGTACAACGGGCTTCCAAGTGCCGTCTGTATGATGTAATTTTTGCAAAATACTTCCTTGCGAACTGCATTCAAAGAAGAGAAAGATGCAAGCCGTCGTCTGGTGAAACGACGGCATCGGCTCGTGCTCCCACGCCAAACCGACGCCTTCGCCGCGCGTTGTATGAATCGTCGACTCCGAGCGCCAAATTCTCAGGCTTGAGTGCGGTAGATGGTGGGTTGCAGATGAGCGAGTCGAGCGGCATCCCTGCGCGGCGGAATTAAGCTGTCCACGAACTGCCGCACGCTGTCGAGGGAGGCAAAGGTCCAGGCGCGTGATGGTGTAGCTCTTTCTAATGAGCGACGCCACCTGCAGCTTCTGGTCATCACTGCTGTTCATGGCGAAGTGACTATTCGGAGGCGGTGAGTGGCCGCGAGCTCGTCGGCGGTACTTGTATGCAGGCCGAGGAGCGAGAAATCACCGGCTTCAAGGCCGGTGCAGGGAGCTCGCCGCATAGCTCATCGCCCAAGCAAGGCCGAGCATTGGAATTTTGTCTCACCATGATAGAGGAGACGCCAGAGAGAATACAAAAGAGATAGGAAGAGAAAAAAAAACGAAGATAAGAACCACACGGTCACGAGTGAGCAGAGGTAGAGGATAGGAAGATATAGAGCAATTGTTTTTTGTCATTGTTTTTTCTTTACTTCCCATCTATTTTTAATATATTTCTAATTTGTTTATGCTTGATCTTTTGTAGCAACGGTTGTCTTATTTATGCTTAATCTTTTTTTTATCAACAAGCAACACAATGGTATATATGAATCATATTTAGGCTTGATCATGACTACATGCAGGCATTAAGTAATTAACAGACAACTAAACACACAACCCACTGTACACGCTGTCTGTTTAGCTGTTTGTATGTAGTACGACGTCATCGTACAGACAGCAAGCCGTCTGTGGGTTGTACATGCCCTGAGTAGTTAGGTTAGCAACACTTGATCCGAGGGAAAAAGACAGTTTCGGAGATATTTATAAGAAAGGACACACTAATCACACAAACAGTAGTGGACAGAGTCAAGTAGAAACATTATTAGTGGCGTGCCTATTGGTGTGCTGTGCAAAACCTGGTGGCCAGCTATTCAGCTGCGTCCATTGGTTAACAATGGAATTCTATTCCAGAAAGAGCTACTCTATTTTTGCTTTTGAGGTGAATGGATATTAAGCATTTTGAAGAACTATCCGTGTCAGTTATTAAAAGTAACTAATAATTTTTGCCCGCTTTCTGCATGTTAGGTGGAATTAAAGCTAGGGCAAAATTTGTCACTGTTTAGCCAAAAGAACTACTATACTCCCTCCATACCTACAAAGGAAGTCGTCCTGGCTCACACCACCGATTTCGCAAAGCTTGTCGTCTTGGCCGCGCGGTCGTGGTTATGGACGCGTTTGCCCCTGCATTAATCACGGAGTCCGTCGTTCCGCTCATGTTTATCGTTCCGCGAGCGTGCACAACGGCAGTAATCGTGGCCGCTTCGTTTCACTCGACGCCCGTTCGCACGCCTCCCTTAAACGCCGCGCCCCTTCATCTACCACAGCCTCGCCGCGCGCCTTCATCTACAACATCGTCTCGCCGCTCTCCGTCGAGGACTCCATCGAGCCATGGACGACGTCGAGGCGCTGCTCTCCGTCAAGGACTCCGTCGAACGTGCCACGCGAACGTTTCACAGCGAAGAACAAAAATTTGGAAACGAACTGCGCGCGCTTCAAAAAATTTTGGCAATGAACGCATGCAGCGCGCGCCATGCAGCAGCAGCACTCCACAGCGAGCAGCGCGCGAGCCAACAATGCCATGCAAAAAAGATTCGGCAGCAGCAGCCACAGGCAAAAAAGTTCAAGTCCGCGGGGTTTTGAACACAGCACCACCGGACTCGGGACTAGCTGCGCTAGCCAGTAAAACTCAGTAACTTTCTTCTATGGAATGCAGCCACAGTCGTATTTATTAGAGATAAATAGGGAAAACTCTACTATAACTCTACCCTAATTAATCACTCCTTGATAAACACAATCATATCCTAAATGACTTTCTTTCAGTTACGGAGGAAGTATGTAAGCCGGGCATCTTCTCCGGGTTTTCATTGCACCAAGTCCCCAGGCATATGCCAGAGCTGAACTTAGGTAATCTCACCGAAATGTCATCATGCACGTCATAAATAAGCAGACGTTCGATGAGATTGAGAATCCACAGGTAGCATACACATCTTGGATCAATTTGTCCGTACGGCACGAACATCCCAAAGTATCCGCCGCCAGCCGGCCAAGGTGCCATAAACCGACCGGTATCCCAGTTCTTAGTTATTATTATATACATATAGACATATAGTACTAAATAAATACGGTAAAAGACAGAAAAATCATGAAGGGTCCAGGCTGCCTTAGCTTAGAACAGAGGTAATCTC